CTGCTCTCCATACTAGCTGATAGCTCTTCTTTCTTTTTATATCCTCCTATTTTGGTCAGCCCTGGTCTACTTGTAAGTAAAGTATCAAACCACACAGATATCTTACTGTGTGAGAAGCTGGTAGAGACCCCTTATTCTCCTATTGTCCACTAAGACTCCTAGGGCCTTTGAAGTATAAGAATCCTTGCTGCTCTCAGCTAGGACTGCAGGCCCTAATATATGGTAAGTAGGGACAGAGTGGAGAAAAGAGATGGATGGAGCAGATGGTAGAAGGGCTCAAGCTTTTTAATCTTCTACCTTTGAAAATACTCATTCACCTGAAAATGTATTTTACTTAAGGACAAAGATAGTGATCACTCACTGAAAATGTGACTCCTTTGAAGGATTATAATGCACACATTGCATTTATGTTTCCAATTTTCAAAGCACTCTGTTATTTTGGTAAATGAGAATTGTACACCATTTAAAATTGTCACCGCTGATTTGATTCATCTTTTTCTCTTTATGAAGAGCATGAGTTAATAGTCTACACCTTTCTTAATATAAGATATTGTTTTAAAAATTACTATAATTTTTCTAAGCCTGGGGACTTGTTTAATAAATGAAGTTCTAGCTACAAGCAAAAATAATCTATAGTCGATAAAAGTCAAGATTCAGAAGAATACTAAATGACAAGAGAAAATGCTCACGACATACTGTTAAACACTGAAAGTTGGTTAAAAATGCCATGCTTAGCATAACCCCAAATTTGTCCAAATCAGACATGTGAAGATAAAAAGGACTGAAATATAATAAAAATTGTAACACTGCTTCTTGTCCTTGGGGAAATGGGATAAAAATGATTTTTGAAGAAGTTATTTATAATTTAAAAAATTATAAAACTTTTAAACATTCAGCACAGAGCAAATCTATAGAGAAATTTGAGTGAGATCACTGGGTTTGCTATTCTTCCTCTGATGGAACCAGGGAGGTAGGTCAGTCCAGGCCTTATTTTGCCAGGCACTGGTCCTTATGGGACTGGTGGGACCTCGTGGTCCTGGAAAGAAGTTCAGGGTGAGCTGGAGATGACACAGGAACAAAGCCTTATAGAAATTTAGAGGTAGATCAGGGCCTCAGTCAGTGTAGAATTCTCTGAAGGGCTCAAGTCCTTCGAGAGGCACGCATTATGAGGAGTAATGATTTTTTTTTTTTTTGGTTTTGCTTTTTCTCCGGTACCGGGAACCGAACTCATGACCTTGTGCTTGCCAGGCAAGCGCTTTTTGCCGCTGAGCTAAATCCCCAGCCCCAGGAGTAATGATTAAGCAGATCATCCAGTTGGCCAGTTGGTAAACCAAGCCTAAAGAAAGGTCCGAGCAAGAATGAACAGTCTCAGGGGGCACCCCATGTGCTGTCAAGGAGGAATACACGCTCCGGTAGTGCCCACTAGATGGCAGACCCTTTCCTTGCCTGAGATTTGAAGAGTAGTTTCAAACATTTCATGGCCCTGAGATCTACTAAGAGTCACCAGGAGACTGGTTAAAACACAGCTTCCTGGGCCCCTGCATACAGCTTTTCTGATTTAATAGTCTGGGAAGGGGCCTCGGGTTCTCATTTCTAAGAAGCTTCAGTGATGTTAGTGCCACTGAATGGTGGACACTGAGCATCAGACATATCACTTCAGACCCTGGGAAGGGCTGAGGTGAACAGAGAAGGTTGTGGTACTTATGGCAGAGCAAGCAGTCCAAATTGTGACAAAAACGGAATGGAAGTACAGCATGGAGAAAGAAGGAGGGTTGTAAGAAACGGGCAGGCTTGGGCGAGGGAATAGGCATAGCCCAGAGGACGGAATGGCCTCTGGTGCCACAGGAGATTTGGATTAAGGGCTCTGAAGCAGAATGTAAGTACGCTGGAGCTGTCATTCTAGTCAACAGTGTGACTGGGTATTACTCAGGATGTGTGTAGCAGATAAGCAGCACAGGTATGCAGACTGAAATAAAAGTGGTATTCAGAGCAAAAATGGAAAATATTAGATACACACTAAAAATAAGCCTAAAGAAAAGAAGTTGAGCATAATAGAAACATAAATGATTCTCTATTTTAAGTGAAAGACCTTTCAAAAAAAATCTCATGTAATACGTAGCTCTACTGTGCAACATGTTTCCATTGTTTTGGTCATACACGGCTGACCAGGCAAGGATGAGAACACGCAACACCCAACACCTTGCTCAGTGAAATGAATCCACTGATCATGCATGCAGATGCCAGTGGCAAGGCTAAAACACTATCAAAGTTTCTAAAGCTTACTCTTGTTCCGTGGTTTCATCAGTAGGGAGTGGTAATAAACAATTTGCAGAAGGGCACCAGTTCATGATAACAGAGGAGCACTAGTCTCGCTGCTCACTACTGATTTTGGAGATCGCACAACTTCAAAGAGTTTATTGTTTTGGATCCTGTACTGCAGACTTAAATTCTTATATCCTTTAGGACCATTTGATTCTAATCCATTATATTTGGAGCCCTTGGAATCATCTATTGGGTACAACTGCTATTTCTTCAGGCTTGGACATTCAGGACAATGTCCTGCACATAATAAACACTCAATAAATGCTGATGGATGAATTCGTGGGACTGGAGTCCAGTCTGACATATCATGGCTGCTTGGAGGATAGACAGCCATCCTATTAGACATAAATGCTCAGTATAAGTTGACATCAAATAACAATTTCCTCTCAGTACCTATATAAAGATGGCAGACTAGTAGAACAGATAGGGAACCAACTCTGAAAAGTCAGACTAATCAGTTTGTTTTCCTGGCCTCACTAGTGCCTTGCTAAATATAGGTGTTGATTGAGAAGGAGTAAAATTCAGTTTATAAGATTCTTGGGCCATGATTCCATACCTTTTCTGGTGGCATTTTCATGCTGAGATGAGACCTTATGCCTACGTGAAGGTAAACCCCAGTTGTTATCTCTGAAAACCATTGAAGAGTTTATCTTATTTGTGTTTCTTTTAATACTAGAATAGTAAGGATATACTTTAATAATCTCAGTGAAAGGGAGCTGAAAGAATACTCTAACCTCCCTGCAACTTATCTATCATTCTCCCCTTGTTTTATCTCTTTACTAATTCATAAAATTGATGTGATTTAATGATGCATAGCTAATACCAATGGTCACAGGAATAATGATACTTGCTATTTGGAGAGCAGTTTATATCAGGTACTATGTTAACTGCTCAAACACATTATCTTATTTAGTTATATTAATAATCAAATCAATTTGTTCAAGGACAAAGTAAAAAGGCTAAGATTATAGCCCAAATATGTCAATTTCAAAAATTTGTGGTGTTAGCCATTGTACTACTTAGGCTCTTGGGTCCAGGGAATATTTCCTCTTAGGTTTAAGGCTACCAACAAACTGAAAACTGTAATGTTGAGAAAGCTAGAAACTCAAGGCCAGGATTTCTCATAAATTATAGACAGTAGATGAACTCTATGAATAAATAAATGAATGAATAAGGATAGATACCAACGGTGAATGAAGCAAATTTAGTTCATGAGGTGCTGAAATGACGGTGTCACTAGAGTTTACTGCTGGCATTTCACTATAAACCAAGAACTGAGTTGGTTTTAAGAGTGTCTATAAAATTTGAAGATACACATGCTTGCTTCAGCAGCACATACTAAAATTTGAAGGTATAATCTGGTTACACATGGGAAGACTAAATCTCAGTTGTATTTCAAACAAATGCACACATGTACACACACACACACATACACCTGTCCTGCACCCCCACTCCTTGGAAAACTGTACTGTTTTTTCAAAATATCCCTTTCTATCCCTCAACCCTCCTAAATAATAAATATGAAAGACAGTTCAAATACAACATGTAGGGTTTTGACTGCACTCAAATCAGAGGTCATAACACTAACCATTACCTTTGGATGGCCTAGTTTTCAACTGTAACAATCTGTATACTCAATATTCCAGGTAAAGGGGTTGTTACAAAGAGCTTTAAAGTACTTTCAGAAAAGCTAAAAGACCTCAGCTTTTCTGTAAGTGTGATTAATATAACTGTGCGTTTATGTTTAAGATAGAATAATTGGGAAAGTCCTACTGGCTTCTTATAGAAGCAAAGAACTGACTTTCATTGTTATAGAGGATGGCAAGATCAAGCGCAAAATTAAAACTTTATCATGAGTTAAAAATCCTTAACAAAACCCCCAAGACAACCTTTTCCAAGTAAATAAACTCCTCTAAGTTAGGAAAGAATGGGAAGTTACATGAGCTCAGACATTTAAACACTCAAATTGATTTCTTGGATACTTAAAAATGCAAATTGATTTAAGAAGCACAGATTTTGGGGAGCCCTAAGACAATCAAGTGATCAGCACAAAGACATCTGTCAGGATAAGGGCACCCTGAGGTAAAGAACCGCTAAGTCTCATGCGATCAGGAACTTAGGGCAGTTTAATTTTTTTTTTTTTTTCTTATGAGGTGACAACCTACTAACACCATAATCTCCCCATTCAGGATGATGACACAGGATTTAATGAGTAAAAGAAAACAACTTAAAACCTTCCTTTTGAGCATGAATTATCTGCTTGGCATTGAAATTACTTTAACCAGTGGCACAATTGGGAAAAGAAACATATACATGTGCATGTACACACATACACTCATTTTATAACACTTAGTTACATGTGCAAAAGTGTGTGTTTCTACTTAGATCCAAAAATAGAAGTAAAGCCAAGACTAACAACCCTTGTGGTAATTAAAGAAAAATGTTTTCTTCCCAAGTGTCTTGACACAATATGAAACGGAAAGGAACTGCTTTCCTCTGGATCACACTTGTTTATTTATGTTTAGAAGAAGATTTGAGGACTAAGAAACCTCATGACAGAACAATTGGAAAAAACCCATGGAAATCATGCACTGGAAGAAACAGAGATGGGTACACATGACCGGGATTATTTTTCCTTGCTGAAATATGTGATAATGGTCTAATAAAAATATGGTTACCTTTACATTTCTTCTCTTCGGTTTGGAAGGTCTGGGCACTTGAGACACTCTGATCATTTACATCATCGTGGTCCAGATGGAATATGGAGTTTGTCCAAGTGGCCGGGATGAGGTGTGGTGACGACTGCTCATTTTTCAGTGTACTGCGCCTGTCAGAATGGCTCTTCCTGTGTAGGCAGGCTTCAGACATTCCTACTAGCTTCCAGTCCTGCTCTTGGTCTGGACAGTGCTTCTGTTTGTCCCAGGCTGGAAGGCCATTTTCTGGAGGGTTGAAAAACATGAGATGTCGAGCTGTTGGCATTGTCAGGATTTTGCTGAGATGCAGAGTTTTGGAAGGCAAGTTGTTTCTCAATTCTTTTGGGCTGACAGTTTTCACATGCACCTCCACTTGACGGCAGTGATAAGATGCAGAATTTGTCAGCCTTAGGCGTTTAGCCACTGTAGTTGGATTGCCTGTTGGAGTAATCAACACATATCCCCCCCTATTGTTAGTGCCTACCAAGACATCAGTTGCTCCATGGCAAGACTGCACTGTTGTTAGTCCCACTTCCACAGCAATGGCCCAAGAGCAAGTTTACATCAGTTGATGCTACTGCTTAGATGACCGTTTGAGGTCTTGAGAGTCCAGGCTGGCTGTGATCTCAGGTCAGATCCTTAGGACAAAACAGCCAGGATACAGCCTTGTTTGACTTAGGTTTTATCACCGGCTGACCTGAGTGACACCTTGTTTCTTAAGTGGGACGTGCTTACGTGGCCCAGGGAGACTGAGAACTCTGTTTTTACATGCAGAGTGACAACTATTTTTACCAGCCTGATGGCAAAAACCCAGAAAAAAACCCCACAACAACGAACTAAAAGAATAAATAAAAAATGGATCTTATAAAGAAAAGTTTTGTGAATGGTTTCAATGTGGTCCCAAGTTGGGAATGAGATCAGATGAAGGGGGGCAGATAGTGTTTTTGCTGTAGGGCAAATGAAGTGTCCTAATAATAAAATGATGAGCCCAAATTCTTTGGCTGGTTACTGTGTAGCTAATTATCTATGTATATTACATGCCTTTTCTATTCAGTTTATAGGGACTTGAGGGTCTGCCCTCTGGAAAATGGGAAACAAATAGAATACTACACATGATCTCATCCAAAAGGCCAAGAAGCAATAAACAAATAGAATGATATTGTATAGTTAGGAATTTTTCATGTTACCCTTCCCCAGTAGCAAATTTTATCTCTTTTAATATCTTTACTGTAGGTGGGTATAAAGTGTAAAAAAAAGCAAGTGTACATATGCATATGTAGTTCCCCTATATATACATATTATATATATTTAAAAAAGAAGTCTGGCTGGGGCTGTAGCTCATCAGCACAGCGCCTGCCTGGCAAGCGCAAGGTTGTGAGTTTGATTCCTGGTACCAAAAATAAGGTCTGGTCATCCATATTTCCAGAAATTCTTAGGCCACTGCCAAAATTAGAAAACACAGACTCTTAAAGTGGTCATATATAGTAATTAGAAAAATATAATTTATATGTGAATTTTCTTTTATACTGAAATTACCAAAAGATAGATGGCCATATCTATGTGGGCGAACTGAACAGTCGGCTGCATCCTGACCTGTGCTTACCCAGGGAATTTTAAACTGCCTTTCCAACATTTAACAGGAGTTTAAAATTATTTAATTAAAAGATTAAGATGCTTTGGGTTTTCATAGATAGCCTCGCTAAAGCTACCAGATGTCTTCAGCTGAGGTTGGGCAGGGTGGTTTCTCTCAAAGTTTAAATTTCTCTCACGTTTGGAAGTTGCACTCTGAGTCCTTACGTTAGTCTGAGACACTTCTGATGCTCATGCACATCTATATTTACTTCAGGAGATCAGAACCAACAATAAGAAAGTAACAATCAGCATGTGATTTACTTGTTATACTAACTGGAAATACTGCGGCTTGAAGTAGCTTCATTGAGCATGTAAGAAATGCCTCCTTTTAAAATATATCATGTATTAATGGCTGGGTTAACTTTGGCTGCGTTACTATGTAGCTAATTTGGGGGCAACATTTGATCTTATCAAACAAGAGCTCTGAAAATTCCTGCTATGTAAAGGGCTAGGTGAGGTACTGTATTAGGTAAGTTAAATACAGATGGGTGCTTTTCTTCTCAGAGCTTCGGTGGCATTATTCACTGCATGGGTGAATAAAAAAGGTCTGGGCTGAGTTCTTCCACTTTACAACCACACTGGCTACTGGTGCAATTACAGACACTTATTCTCACTATCCATTTAAAGGAAAGACAGATTGAGATCTTGGGAGATTGTATTGCATTTCAAGATAAACACATCATTCAAATACCTACTTTCCATGAAGGTTTAGGGTTTTCATGAGCTAAATATAATGTGACTGAATGCAAGGGTTAATTCTGGGCCTAAGGAGATTGATTTTATTTCCACAGACATGAACAGCCTTTATATTCATGCATGTTTCTATAGTACCTAGTTTACTTTAGAGACTTGGTCTAGATCTTCAGCTAATTGAACCTTGTAAGGCTCAACTTCAGTAGTGTAATGTGAAAGTTCTCACACTGTTTTGTAAGGCCTCTAACATCCTATTTTTCTGTAGAAATTCTTAAATTGGTACTAATTCCCCAGCCCCAACGGAAATTAAGAAGCACAGCCCCACAGGGTAATCACTGCTGCCTAGGGAAGCCATACTTAGATGAAAGGTGCTGAAAAGCACTACACCCAAAAGGGGACATTCTTCCTGGAAGCATGGCCCATTACAACTTGCTCAGTAGGTCCCTTGGGCCAGCAGGAAGGGAGTTTCTTCTTAGCAAGGGAGGCTATGTTTGGGGTGAGGCAAGGGATAGGATTGCCTTCCACTTTTCTAAGAAAAGTGCTTCAGATGGTTTGCGAAAAGGGCTCCATTCATAGGAGGCATTTACAAGCTTATAATTACTGTCTTTAATTACATTCACAATAATGATATTCAGTTGCTTAATTGGCAGGTTTATTGGTTGGGGCAGTGCTGGGAAACCTGGAGACTGAAAAGTCCTAGTTGGGTCATGGGAAAACTCAATAGTGATTTATTTTAAAAGGATTCTGATTCTTATCCTCTCAAGAACTGGAGGGCACATGCAAGTCCTATTCCATTTCCAAGGAAGGATGAGACTCCCATTACACCAGGCCCCTTGAATCTACCCATGAGAACTACAAGTCACCTCCACATACATATGGTTGGTGACAATAGTTTTCAGGGATTTTTTTTTTTTGCTATTACTATGTCAAATGTTGCCCCAAAGCTCACACCAATGGGATATTTCCTTTATAAGGTATTCACATCCTAAAGTTTAAGTCAGTAATTCTCAATCTTTGGTGCATACCAGAACCACAGGAGGTGCTATAGTCAGGTGAAGACCTGACTTTAAATTAGGATGTGGCTTGGGTATGTGTAGATCTGCCAGTTTCTCCAGGTGATTGTGATGCTTAACAGAGTCTGATATCCAGAAGGCCGAGATAAATTTAAGGTAAAAAAAAATAAGCCATTGGCAAATTTTGCCTAAATGTGTGGTCTCTTCAGACTCTTTCACCCAGCCTCGGAGTAAATTTGCATTAGCATTGAAGAATTCATCAATTATTTTACAGTCTACTGGGCGAAGTATTAAAAGTCAGATGCTCATTGAGTATTATTTTGTAGACTGCAATTATGCATATAAATATTTATTTAAAAAGACTCTTCTAAACATTACTGGAGACTCACTGCACATGGTAGTGGAAATAATTTTTTAAAGGGGGGTTTTAGAAATAATCATATCTTGTTATTCACATGAAGTGTGAATTCTTTCTTCTTTAATAGATCTTAGCTAACATCTAGCCTTTTAGAATACTTCATATTCCTGATATCAAGACAACCAGTTTAATTTACCAGTTATGATACAAATTAATAAATAAGTAGAATGAAAGAAAATAGATACTGATACATGACTGCAAATAAATTAGTAGATACACAGTGACCTGTGTGTCTCAAAGGAGTTTAGACACAAATGAGTTAGATGACCAGCACTATAATGGCTTTGACACCACACTGACCAAAAGGCTCTTTTGCAAAAGAGAAATATAGTAAACATAAACATCATTATGTAACTACCTATCTCTGGAAATTCTATTGAAGATGACAGAAAATAACCCTTTCCATCAAAAAGGGAGAATTACATTAAAATATTCAAGTACTTTAGGACACAAAAAGTGAGCTGGTAATTCAAAAAAAGAGCTAAAGCAAAGGAAATAGGATTGTGACACAGTGGTCAGAAAGGGACAGCCCTCATTATAAAAGTATGGAAGGACCATCAATATTAGGTATTGAAACCTCAAACCGTATTTTGCATTAGGGAGATGTACATGTGATATGCTTTTCAAAGCCAGGGAGTGTGCAGAAAAACTATCATTGTATAACATCAGACTATTAGCTATGAAGTCTCTAATTTCCATTTCAATTTTTTACTTCAATCCATAAGGTCTAGCCTTGCTAAATTCTCAAACTGTATACCTATCAACTAATTTTTAGAATCACGCAGGATAGGAGAATAAAATTTGGCTTAAGATTTACTATGGATCAGTTGCCTAGCTTGATACTTTTCTGCATCTGCTCAAACATCCTAAAATTCGGATAGGCACTTCATCTATTTTTACCTTTTGAATAGATGTTTTCATTATTGGCCTTATTTGATAAGCAGCAAATGACCTATTTGTAACTATTGTTTAATCAGTACTTTGAAAGTTCTTTAGAAACTATACCTCATTCGGTTATCTTTCTACTCCTTGACATTCATAACAGCTCTCCCTGTGTTCTTTGCAGCTTCCTTCCACCCACTATTCATAGGAGGACAGCCACTGTGAATTTTTAAAAGTATAAATCAGAGTATATTTAAGTGGTGCTTAGAATCTTCTGACGACTTCTCATCAATCCTGGAATAAAGTCCCTAAGCCTTTCTATGGCCCTGAAGGCTCCTGGAAGCATCCCACTCTCCTGCTGAGCTCCCCTCAACTAAGCTTTTCTTCCACAGCTCTGCCTCTTGTTCTCTCCCCTCCAGCCATAGGAAATTCTAACAGGGGATGCTCCGCGAGAGTCTTCACCAGCTCACCAGCAGTGAGGTGTCAGAGACTCTCCTGGTTGGCACTCCAGTCATTTTCTTTAGATCTTCTTACTTTATATTCTCCATAATACCAATTACCAACTGGACCTTCCTTGTCTGTCCTCACTGGAAATGCAAACAGCAGGG